GTGTGATCAATCCTACTTCTGCTCTCTTGGAGTCACGCACCAAATTCTAACACTTTTCCATATGACAGCCTTCAAATGTTGGGAGACAGCTGTCATGGCCCTTCAAAGTCTTCCCTAGGTTGACTATCCCTTCTGCTAATTCTCCCGTGACAGTGATCCTGGTCCTCCATCATCATGGTCACTCTCCTGTAGGCACTGTCATGTTCATCACGGTCCCTCTTAAAATGCTGTACACTGAGCTAAATAAACACCAAACTCCAGACATAGCCTTGTGGTTCTGTGATAGATGAACAGAATCCAAGAGCTGAAAAGGACCTTGAGACATCACCTCAATCAGTCTTCCCCTTTCACCAAGTAAATGACCAACCGATCCAGGTCTGGGAGTTGTTTCTTTTCTTACTCACCTCTATGCAGTTTCTATTCCTTTTATTGGGAAAAAAAGAACTTAGAAAGAATATCAACAAAGAAATAACCCTATAATACTTAGATTCTTTCATTTTCATATACCCTTTGTTGAAAGGGTCCTTAGAGGTATACAGTCCAACCTCCACCTAAATCATGATGCTCTACACCGTGAGCACTTGCCAGGTGGTCATCTCGCCTCTGTTTGAAGACACTCAATGATAAGAAATTCACTCTCTCTTGAAGCAATCCATTCCATTGTTGGAGAGCTCTAATTACGGAGAAGATTCTTCCTATTTTGATCCAAAATCTTTGTCCTGAAAAAATCTACCCACTTATGCTCATTCTGCCCTCTGAGACCAAGGAAATTCACTCTAATTCCCACTCCACAGGATCAGTGTTTATTTAGAATAATTTTCTTATTCATTAAAATGACTTGTAATGCCCATTAGACTATAATCAACTCCCATTGGAAAATACCAGAATTTTTTAAAAAATTAATTTTTCAAGCAGAATCCCATGTGGATATTAGCATAGAACCTTTTATCCAAGTACAGACACCTTGTTCTCATGACAGCACAGTCAAGAACAGGATCCCTAGAGATACTACTTCCAGCAGCCCAAGTAATCTCAAGAGTTTTCAAAGATTAAAGCTACTCAAATATTTACTGAACATCTACTGTGTGCAAAGCATAGCACCTGCTCTCAAAGAGTGTCCTCCAAACAACAATGTAAGGACTTGAGTGGTCCTAGAAGATATTTACCCAGCCTTGGCTCAGGAAAGCTTCCCTCCAGGTCTCAGCAAGTCTAAACTGAGATAGTAGTTGGAAGAAAGCCTAGTCATGCCATGCTTTCTGGATTAGCCAAGGACCGCTGTTTCAGACGCCTCCAAATGCTTAGAAGGATAAGAAAATAAGTAACCAAGGTATCTGGAATTCCCTACCCATGTGATATGATTGAGTTATGGTATGCCTCTATGGTACAGGGAAGAGGAAATGAACATTCTTTTCCATAGCAAGTCATCCTCATTTGTAAAATGCAGGAATTGGACTAGAAAACAACAATAATAATAGCTAATATAGCTAGAAATGGCCTGAAGTCTTCCTAACTTCAGCGCTCTAGCTACTGAGACACCAAGATGGTTCCTGAGGTCTCTCCCAGCTCTCCATCCACGATGCAAATCTCATGATCCATTTATAGCACCATATCTTCCCCTATCATAGAGGTGGCATTCCTTAAAAGGGTGGTGACTGGGTCAGGGATAAAGGGCCTTCTCCATTTCTCTTTGCTTTTTGACCCCCAATACCCGAGATATTCTAAGCAACTTCTCACATCGTTTAAATCAACCCAGAATACATCAATAGAGGGTCCGATACATGAAACCTAAAAATGTGATTCTTCCCTTACACCTTTACAATCCTGGCACTAGACTAGTCTCTTTCATCTGAATGGCTAACAGAACATTACAGATATTACCCACAGACTGAATGGTAAATCTAATTCTTTTTTGCTTTTGCATATAAATATCAGGGAGCTCACGTTGAGTGTTAAGGGATGCAATCAAAATTAGGGTCACAAAATAAAGAAAGCTCTCACAAGCCAATTAGTCTAGTATCTCTGGTCTCTGATTAAAGAGGGGGGAAATCACTACCTCCTGAGGCCCATTGGACAGCTCTGACTGTCAGAGAGAGGCAGTGTTGTTTAATGGTTAGAATGCGGAGGTTGGAGTCAAGAACCAGGTCACACAGCTACTAAGTGTCTGAGGCCAGATTTGAATTCATGACCATGAGTCTTCCTGATTCCAAGCCCAGTGCTCTATCCACTGCACCACCTAGCTGCCCCCATGGAATCTAGATCCCTCAAAAATGTAGCATGACAGACTTTGCCAAATTCTAGAATCCAGACATGTTATGTCACATTACAGTAGCCAGACAAATACATTGTTTTAAGTTTTACAAAGTACTTTACATTTTTATCTCCTGTAAGCCCCACAAGGGAAAGCTTACAGATATCGTTACACCTGTTTTGAAGATAAGAAAGCTAAGGGTCAGAAGGGTTAAGTGATTTGCCCATGGTCTCAGTTTTTAAAGATGAGAAGTGAAATTTGAACCCAGGTCTCTACTAATTCCAAATCCAACCCTCTTGCCACTACGCCATGCTGACTCTGCAACATTCCCCAGATCTACCTGTCCAGCTGCCCTGTCAGAGAAGGAAATGAGGTTGCTCTGTCATGGACTGTTCTGGATGAAGCCATGCTAGTATTCAGTGAGAACTACTTCCCTTTCCAAGTGCTTACAAACCAGCCCTTGAATAGTGTGCCCTTGAATTATGCCAGGAAAATTTGGCCCATAGATTGCATCACCCTCTTCCTTTTTTTTGAAAATCAGAATAAAATTGGCTCTTCTCCAATTATGCAACATCTCTCATTCTATACCATCTTTCTAAGAATCACTGATGACTCAGAAATCACAGATCCAGAATGAGGGATGCATGGCTAGGCAGCAGTTTGTCTGAAAACAATCTTGGGGGGTTTGGTGGACAGCAGGCTCGGTATAAATCAGCAGTGAGATGTGACAGCCAAGAAAGCTAACAGGTCTTGGGCTGCATCGAGAGAGGCACAGGCATAGCTTCTAGTAATAAGGAGGTGATAGTCCCTGGGTCAGACCCCTTCTGACATTCTACTTAGCTCTGGGCCCCCAGTCTAAGAAGGGCATACAGGGAACATGCAAGGGACAATAGCCAGAATGGCAAAGGTCTTTGAATCCATGTCATGTGGATCAGTTGAGAAAATGGGAGATGTTTAGCCTACACGAGAGAGCCTTGGAGTGGGGGAGCAAGTCTTTGAAGGGCTGTCATGTGGAACAGCCATCCGGAAGGCAGTGAAAAGAGCACGGCTCCAGAGTCAGAGGGCGTGGGTTCAAATCCCTCCTCTGACACATATTGCCCGAGTGACCTTGGGCAGGCCACTCAATCTCGCCATCTGCAAAATGGTCTTTAAGGTTCCTTTTAGTTCTAGATCTAGCAAATTTAGAATAGAGTCAGAAAGCATGTCCTAACAATTAAGTGGGGGATGTCCAAGAGCGGGATAGGCTGCCTATCCTTTTAATTTACAACATTATTCCATCTCCCCACACATGCATCCACAAACTTTTATTCTGTTCCTTTTAAATAAAATAGACCCATCTAGGGCCATATTCCAGGTATGAGCCCCATCTACCAAATTGCAATGATACCTATGAGTTCAAATTTGCCTGTTAGCTTAGGCATAATTCTCTATCTAGTTTATAAAATTATCCTATTTATGCATTTGTATAAATGAATAAGCTTAAACCTGCACTAAGGCTTTTGGAACACCCAGTACAAATGGCTGAGTTGGAAGGGAAGCATAGAGGTCATCTATAACTTCTATCCTAGAATTAAAAATTGGAAGGTATAGCGGAGATCATCTGGTCTGAGTCTTTGTTTTACAGAGGAGGAAACTGAGGCCCAGAATGGAGGCGTGACTGGCCCAAGGTCACATATTGTTGGAGCCAGAATTCAAACCTAGGCTTTCTGAAGCAATGCTGTACTTTTTTGGGTGGTGGGGGAGTAAAAGGGAAGGAAACACATCTAATTATGAAACTTCCTTTCAAGCTGTCCAATATCTCCACTCATTCTGGTTGCAGCTCCTTTAGTAAAAAACCACTAAACTTATAGAGGCAGGTGTGAGAATAGCTGCTAGGTTAATGTATTCCTCATTTCTGGCCCTGGATCCTTTCTTAAATTTCTTGGAACATCATGGCTGATATCACCAATATTACTGATATCACTGATCCCAAGTCGTTAAATGTATATTATCATGTATAGAAATAACTATTTTAACATCTCCATGTGGCTGACAATGTGTTCTCCACATAAACACACCACCAATCTGCTCATCCAAGAACACTTTGTCATTTTAAGATCGATTAAAAATTTGAGGAGGTGCTATGATATAGTGAAAAGAGTAATGGCTTTGGAGAAAAGATCTGAATTCAAATCCTGATTTGCTTCTTATTTCCTGTGTGACTTTCAGCAAGTTATTTACCCTTTCCAGACCTCAGATTCCTCCTCTATGAAACAAGGGACTTATACTAGGTGAACCTCTAAGATTACTTCTTGATCCAATGATCTTTGTTTAAGTGATAGGATATGTGTAAAGTTGCTTTAAAGTAAACCAGAAACCTAGCAGATGTCACATTGTTAAGCTGTTTATGCTGAGAATGGAAAGAATGCAAAATAAATGATTTAACTGTGACATTTCAACCAGGTTTTTAGACCCACAAAAACCACAGAACTCACAATTGTTGGTCCCGAGAGCCCTCATTTCATCAGTTAGAATATTTTTAGCACATGGGACTCGGTGGGGATTTTTTTTTCCTCTTGGAGTGGACCAATGAATGAACAAAAATTAAAGAGAAGCTTTGATAAGCCAAAGTCCATTAAGAAATGCTCCATGAATTGATTAAATGCAGAGTTTTCAAACTACATTTTTAAAAGCTTGCTGTTTTTCTGTGTGGCTTTTCAGACAGCTACTTAATAAACATTAAGGACAAAATTCATTTCTTTTATCTCCACAGCTCTCCCCCCGGCCATCTCTGCAGCACAGTATGGCCCCCTGTAACGAACAATGACTGACCTTGGAGGATTGCAGAGGCCCAAAGAACAGAGCATTAGACCCCTTTTCTATGGTCTGGTTGCCCATCTTCTCTCTCAGAGGTGACGACTTTCATTAGCAAACCTAGTACTGACAATCCTTCCCTGCCTTCCCCCCTCACCCTCAACACACCAGCTTGGACCACTCATCGTCCTGGACACCATGTAGTAGGGCTTCAACGGGTTGTGACGATTGAGTTGCAATGGTTTTACACACTTCCCCATTTCCCTGTTGCTGTCTGTCTATTCTACATCGCCTTTCTTGGGCTCTGATCTGCCCATTTTACTGGCTTGTGGACAGACTTGTAGCCTCCTGGATACCAACTACCAATGAGAAGTGCCAAAGGGGGTCTCTGTGCTGGGCCCTCCGCTTTATCTTCACCACACCCATTTACTTGGCTCTCTGTACTCTGTCAATACCCAGTGCCATATTTGGGTTTCTTTTGTGGAACCCTCTCCAGCTATGTAGGCGACCATACATCTATTCTAGGCTGGAAGACAAGAGCCAGGCCAGTGGTACTATACTTCTCAATGAATGGAAGGCCTCGGGCCCTGGGAAAAGTTTCTGTTTCGGCACTGCCAACGTCTGTCTCCTCCCTGAATGCATGGCAAGGGTGAACAATCTTTCCAACACACAAGACCGGGCCAAAGAAATTGGGCAGAGAATCCGAAATGGAGCCAGTAGGCCCCAGATCAAAATATACATAGACTCCCCGACAAACACCTCTATCAGTGCAGCGAGCTTCAGCAGTCTGGCGTCCCCCCAGGGCAGCGACGGCCCCAACAAAGCTGTCAATGTGGGCATCAAGAGAACGACCTCCATGGAGTACAAGGGTGACAACGGGAGTCCAAACAACAGCGAAGAGAACCGGAACCCCAAAAGCGGTGGGGACTTTCATGACGTTGAAGACAACGCCTGCATCATCCGGATCGGAGGAGAGGACGGCCAGCTGTCTGATCCAGAAGCCGACGGCACTGGTGACTGCCAGATGGAAACTCCTCCAGAGAATAAAGCAGAGAGCCAGAAGGGCCAAACCCCCAACCATAAGGCCAAGGAAGGGGACGCTGGGAGCTTAGACAGCTACACCGCATCGAGAGAGTCCCTGGTGAAGGTCCGGATTGGGGAGAGCACCACAGACCAAAGCTCTGTCAACAACAAGTTGCTCCACAAGACTTCCACGCTCAAGAAGACCTCGCTGCGAAAAAAGAAGCATACAGATGAGATCTTCGACCATGAGATCTCTGCCTTCTTCCCTGCCAACTTGGACTTCCTGTGCTTGCAGGAAGTGTTTGACAAAAGAGCAGCAGGGAAATTGAAAGACCAGCTCCACCAATATTTTGAATACATTCTGTACGACGTCGGGATCTACGGCTGCTGTTGCCCCTGTGAGATCCTGAGCAGCTCCTGCCCCTGTAAGATCCTCAACAGCGGCCTCCTTTTTGCCAGCCGCTACCCGGTTATGGACGCCGTCTATCACTGTTACCCCAACGGAGGAGGGACCGATGCCTTTTCTTCAAAGGGAGCCTTGTTTGTTAAGGTAAGAACCTCTACTCTCTGGGGCTTCGTCCTCTTCTGGCAGACCCCTCGGATAAGGAAGCTGTCCTCTTCCCTCTCTGCTAGGGCAACTGCATGGAATAGCATGGTGCTAATCCACTGTCTGACCTAAAGCAGGTTACTTCCACTCCTCTACAAATGACGGACAGCCTCTAACATCATAAGAGTCTATGGCAGTATTCTATGTGATGCCTAGGATGTCACACAAAAGATGCCATGATTGGGAAATCTCTAGTCACAACGCCATTGCAAATCAGCCAAAGGGTGACTAACAAGCTAGCTCCTGTGCACACAGCACACTCTTCCACAGCTAGACACTTAGTTTAAATGAGGATTGATAAGGAAAGCTAATGCAGATTAAAGGTGGTAAATTTGATAGATTGGGATTTCAGAGGCCTTAAAAGTCCATTAAAATTTCCCCATTAATTCGGTCCTTAATTGATGTGTTTCATTAGGCTTGTACTTCCCCGACTGCTTTCTAAAACAGGCACACACAGCATTAGATGGCTGCTTTGGGGGAGGTTCTGCCTACTACAATGTGGCTTCATTTTAGCAATAACCAATTGAAATTAATAATTGTTTCTTTTAATTTAAACGCAATTGAGGGAGTTTTTAGGTCATAATAATTTGGCCATTATGTATTGTCTTCTCACTCAACATGAGAAGTTTGTTTCCCTCCCTCCACCCCCCCAATACTTTCCCAAAGTTAAATTCAAGTTTTCTCAAAGAAATATTTTTACGCTCTATTGTGCAGTCAGATTTTTTTATGTCAGAGGTTAGAAGGGGCTTTTTATTATTATTAATATTTAAATTATTATTTAGATTTTCATCATTAATAACATGTCTCTTTACAGTTACAAAGCACTTTGCTCACAGTTTCTCTTCAGCCCTCAAAATAACACTGCAAATAGAGCAAGAAGTATTATTGCTATTTTACGGGTGAGGAAACTGAGGCTGACAGGTAAGATGACCTGCCCATTGTCACACGGATTAGTAAATAGCCAGGACTGTAACCCAGGTCATCTGATTCTAAATCCACAGGCTTCCCTTCTGTTACTGATTCTTTACTATTATAAGAACAACAACAATAGTGATAGTAGCCATTCATATACTTTTTTGTATATAATCACCCTTTGCATACATTATCTCATCTGATCTTCACAACAACTTGTAGAGTTAGGTACTCAGGAATTCTTTTTTCTCACTTTACAATGAAAAACATGAGACTCAAGCATCGATCAGGACCCTGCAGTTAATAAATGTCTGAGATGAGATTTGAGCCCAGGCGTCTCCTGACTCTGGGACTCACACACTTTCCATCACAGCACCTTGTCTGCTTTGGCACGTCTTCCCCACGAGGACTGTGCCAGCTTTGACTCATTCCACACATTTATGTAAAGCAGGAAAGGGACAGAGACCAATCTATGCACCACAGAGGTGAGGAAACCAGGACCCAGAGAGAAGGGCCCTGGCCAGAGCACTGGACTAGGAGTCAAAGGATTTGGGCTGCAGGCCTAGCTCTTCAGCAAACTAGATGTGTAACTTTAGATGGGCCATTGGCCTCTCTATATCTCTGCTTCTCCATCTGTAAAATTAAGCATAGGCTAGCTTACCTGGATACAAGTTAAGATGCCTGAAGGCTGGCACTGCTCCACTGTCATCTGTGGGTGGTAGTGACAGGCAGCATGGCGGATGGTTAGAAGGCTGGCCTTGGAGTCAGGAAGACTTGGGTTTGAGTCTTAGCTGCATGACCAAGGGCTGGTCAGTTGGGTTCTTAGTGTCCCAAGCAACTCTTTAAAGACTGTAATTTATAGATGAATTGCCCATCTGCATCAGTGAAGGATGTCTCCACACCAGGAGTTCCCCCAACTCTGCTGAAATCACAGGGCCAGACCGAACAATCTACCATAGAGCCTAGCACAGGGCTGCCCTTGGTAAATGTTTGTGGAATAAATGAACAGAATATCATGTCTAGCTCTGCAAAGCTATGTTCAATATCTCGTTGAGTTAATGACAGAGCTGATGCTAATGAGGCTTTTGTTTTCTCAGCCTAGTGCTGTGACCATCGTAAATGAGCATTTTAGCTGTGCTTAAGGTTTTGGGTGATAAATTGTCACTACAGGGAGTGGAGAACATGGCACAGTATGTGTTTCCTGCCTTGATCAACGAGTAGTGGAGGTCTCTCTTGAATACACAAACATACACACACACAACACACACACACACACACACACACACACTCCCTCCTCAGATATCTAACTCTCATAGCAATGGCCTTCCCACTTCCCTTCAGGACACTCAACAACTTGCTGAAATGTTTTATCAATCTTTCCATTAAAGCCTATGGTTCACCACTATGTGTGTGGCCCCTACTGGTTCATAGAGGGACCAGGTGCCTCAGGGCCCCTCTTGGTTAGCCCAATAATTGTGAGGAAGCCCTGGACACATGACAACATGGGGCAGGGTAATAAGGGGGAAAGGGGGGCTCTTCTTTGGGAGAGCTGACAATGCCTCTGAATTTATGTATTCTCTGTTATGAGGTCCTGAGCTTTTCACACAGAGTGTAATATGGTGAAACCAAATTAATTCCTGTTATAACAAGATCTACTCCATCTATTTTTGCCCACCATTTGACAGCATTTAACAGATTATATTTTGGTCGTGGCTGCCAGAGTTACTTTCCCATAAAAGCGGCGTTTCTTATGTAAGGCTTAGAATGGATAGTGCCCCATTAACTTGCATTCCATTAAAAAAATGAGCTTTCAGGGACTGGAAAGCCCAGCAATCGAAGAGTCTGTCACTTTACCTTAGCATCACCAGGTGAGAGCACAGTCCATGTCAGTAATAATTTGAAAAGCATTTTGTTCTCTTCCCACCTGGGACTAATTCTTCAACTCTTTGGTATTTATTTTGGTAACTTATCAAGCAATTTTCTGTGGTTCCTAATGCCTCGCCCCAACCCTGACCTACCGTATTGATTCAACAACCATTAATTAAATGCCTACTACGTGCTGAGCACTGTGCTGAGCAGAGATGCAAAGACAAAAGCAAAACTGATCTTTGTCCTCAAAGAACTTATAATTTAAATAAGGAGAAACAATAGTTCCACACCCTGAAAATTCCTTTTCACAGCCAATTCCTCTAGAAAATTTAAAGTGTGATTTTCAGAAACACTGAACTTTCACTTGACTGTTTTAAGAACTTCATATTATATAAGTTTTACTTATATTGAGTTTTATACAATACACACAGACAGACAGATGGAGTTTTACTACGCAAGAACCAGTAATTCTTAGCTACTACTACCAAGATCAGGGAGCAAGATTTGTAAGTAATTTCAAAAGCAGTACATTTAATTTCCCTTTTGAGGCAGAAGGACTCAGGTGACATCGAGTTCTAATTCAAATTTCCTTATGGATTTGGAAGCCATGTGCTCCCACAAACAAAACAAAAAAAATCCCTTTCTGGTATCTTGCTTTAAAAAGTGTTCAGACTCAGAGAAAGCAGGTATGGGTCTTGCTTAAAGTATGCCATATGAATTCTTCATCTATCCTGTTAGGGATGATCAGAAGGTTGGCCAAGAGAGAACATTATGATATAAAGGGTTTTGCATTGGTCTGAACACTTTCAGCCCTAAGTAGGTTCAGGTTGGCAGTGGTTCCAAATCTGGGAGCAAGAAGGGAGCCTTAATGCCTCCTAGGACCAACTATACATCCAGGTCTGGATCCCTGGGAATCCTCCCTTTTGGCACCCAACTGTTCTATGCTTCCAAGTTCACAGAACCCCAGAGCCAGAAAGGATTTCTGAAGCCATCTCGTCCAACTTCTATCTGAATAGGTAACTCTTTTATAGGAGACGAGTGTTCATTCAGCCTCTACCTGAAGACCTCCCATGACAGGGGACTCATGATCCTTTGCAGTAACCCATTCTTGGACAGTTCCAATCATAAGGCTTCTTTATTTGAAGGTAGAATCAGCCTCTCAGCAGTACCCTCCCTTTTTAATTCTTCTCCCCATCATTCTCGGTTCTGCTCTCTCAGGCCAAGCAGAACATACCTAATCTTTCTTCCACATGACAGCCCTTCAAATACCTGAAGAGAGCAGTCACATCTTTACTGCATAAGCATCCCCAGTTTCTTCAGCTGAGTATAATATCCCCGATGTGGTCTGACCATAGCAGAATACAGGACTATTCCCTCCCTCATTTCTGGATAATTTCCCTTAGTAAATGTGGCCTAAGTTCACAATAGCTCCGCTGGCTGCTATGACACATGATTGATTCATCCTGACCTTACAAGTCCAGTGAAATTCTAGCCATGGTTCCACCATCTTGTATTTGTGCAGTTCTAACTCAGACTTCTCATTCATTTCTATTACATTTCATCATTTTATATCAGCCCAGTATTCTAGACTGTTGAAATCATGTTGCATCCTGTTATCCAACATCTTAAGTATCAATCCCAGCTTTGTGTCACCTGCTAATTTAACGAGGGTCTGCACTAGGGTAGAGGCAATAGGAACAGAATGAAGGAAATGTAAGATATGTTTGAAGAGTAAAACTGACACGATTTGATCAGTTTAGATATGAGATAGTCATGAGGAGAAACGCTTGCCTTCAGGGAAAAAATGATAAGTTCATTTATGGACATGATGCATCTAAAGTAACCTGAGTTTATCAGTTGGCAATGTCTTTGAGGTAGTTAGAGATGTGAGTCTAGAAATCAGAAGAGAGATCAGGTTAGGAGATAGTGATTTGGGAGTCATTTACATAGATGTGGTAGTTGGGGCCATGAAAGTGAATGAAGTTGCCAAGGGAGAAGAAAAGAGAATCAATCCATCAATCAAGAAGCATTTATCAAGTGCTTACTGCATGCCAGGCACTATACTAAGCCTTGGGGATTCAAAGAAAAAGTACAAATGCCCCCTGCCCTCATGAAGCATACATTCTGATGGAAAAGTCAACAAATACATAAATAGGTGCATA